GTGTTTAAGCAAATACTATCTATCTTATTTTGAAGCATGTGCAAGAATGCATTTCTATTCCTTAATTAATTATTTGTCAGTAATTTCAGAGATGGTGGTTGTCATTCACTTCCCCTGCCTGTAAGATAAACACCAATTAAATAAAGCCAGTTCACAGGGTTTTGTTGCAATCTCCTAGTTGATTCCTCCTCCACCACCCATGGGTCCAGATTCTCCTGAAGATGAGGAAGCTTTGGGAAGTATGTTAATAGCCTGGTATATGAGTGGTTATCACACCGGCTACTATCTGGTAAGTGACTCCTGTTGAAATGTTGCATATGTGGTCTAGCTTTGGGTTCTTCTACTGTTTAAGAGAAGTAGTTTTTTGTTATGGAACTTTTATTCTAATTTATGAGAACCTAGCTCTAAAGGCATTCTGTTTAAGTGTTCCTGTCTCTCTCTGAGCAAAAGCAGATCAGTCCACTTAACTAATGAGAACTTTCTATGTTTTACATTTACACATTTAAATATATTATATAAAAATAATTTGAGATCAACAGTTGCAGCTTTCCAGGCCAGTGGAGTTTCCTACCATGCACAGTTTGTTATAATTGAAGAACAGATTGTGTAGTTGGAATAAATCTGGACTTGTTCTGTAAAGATTTTTATTTTCTAACAACTGCTGGATATTGGTGGGGTGTAAAATAGAGCTAATCTATTCTCTAACACCCTCCCCCCCTAACAATATTCTTCATTGCTGACCAGTGGGAGGGATGGATTTGTGGTACATGGATAGCTTATGCTGGTACTCCACACTGATGAAAAATCAATGGTTGTGGAGGGCTGCTTTTTGCATAATTGCAAAGGAAGGGGAAAAAAATGTGGAAAGGATTTGACTTTTCAAGCTTTGATAATTAAATGACCCCCCTTTTTTTTTAATGGAACATTCTTGTTAACATTCAAATGTGGACTGAAGACTAAACAAACAGAATTTGGGAATTGGCACTTTAGATTAAATGTCTGTGGGTTTCCATTATTTACTTTTGGTTTAAAAGCAAAAATTTCTCAAGTTGTTCTGTAGGGACACAGATCAAGGCAATAGCAAATAGTTGTTTTAGTTCGTGATTTCAATATAATATGTTTGGTTGGTTGTCCTCAGTCTATCTATAAATAACCAAATCTGCTTTTCATGAGAGACTAGAAGGATTTGGCCCAAAATATTTTACCACGATGAGCAAAGTTTCATTTTTTATTTTGTCTTCACACTTGAATAACAAACTTTTGCTATCCTGTGTCCCATAGGGTTTAAAACAGAGCCGTATGGAAGCTGCCTTGGAGAGAGGTCCTCACCCTAAATAATTGAATATCACTTACTATCTTGAGCAATTGTAAGTATTGTATTTGTGTTTAAAGTTTTAAATGTTGCAATCAGTGATCAGCCTGTGACCAAACTGAGAAACTCAGTTTGGAATTGCATCCTAGCTCTGGAGCATGTCCCTTTAAAGAAAAGGGCAACTTTAGGTTCTAAGACATCAAGTCATCTTGGCCATCAGTGAAGAAAATCTCTGTCGCTGTCAAAATGTAGTAAGTGACTTGCCACCAGGCATAGTGGGTGAGAGCTGGACTAGGCTCTTAACAGTACTTTCCAAGGATGGATTTGTGATTGGGAAATCAGTGTGGCTGGTATTACTAAAAATTAATTTGTCCATATTGTTGACTACTTCCACTATGATTTAGAAGGGCTGCTATCTTAATGTGAACAAGACAGCTAACTTAATCAGTCGTGGAAACAGAAGACCTGTTAAGAGTTTGTGATCAAATCTGACTTGTAACCCTACACACATTTTTAGAAACAATTGCTTGCTTATACATGTAGAGTAGGAGAGATTGTGCTTGAGTTTCTTTTTCAAGATGGGACTAACATCTAGCTCAGTTATTGAGGTTTTTCTGTCCTGTTAAGGTTTTTATTTTCCCCCACCCCCACCTTAATGCTGAGTATCTGCACTTCGGTTTGAAATAACTTTTGCATAGGATCTCCCTTAAGTATTAATAATTTTACTGCTGTGCACAAAATGTATTCTGCCATCTGTTCCTTTTCACTTGTTTTTCTGACAGACTTGTCTTTAAAGGACAAGTATGATTTATAGTGACTTGCAGGTGGTACTTGTTTAGAAAAATTAGTGTGTGCATGTACCTATACAATATAATTGTTATTTCTCTTTTAAGCCAGGTACAAATATCCCTCTTTGGGGGAGAGACGTCACTTGTGCATTGGTTGATAATGAAGATCGATTTTTTTTTAAAAGCACGAAGACTAACCGGGTTTAACATCTAAATCCCTTGCATTTTAATAGTGAACTGCCTGACTGAATTAGTGCAACATCAGACTTCTTAAAGTAGCAAAATAGTCATTCATGCATTCTTAAAGGCAACCAGCAAGATGTATATTTAAAAAGCACTGCAGCAATAAAATGCCACCTGCCCCTCTTAAATTGTTTAAAGCTAATGTTACGGATTTTAAAAATACTCTACAGATCCCTTTTGAAACGAGGTTATATACATGCTGATCTCTCTGTATGGTTGTATCTTACATTTTTAAATTTGTAATTTGAATTATCCAAGTAATTTTGATCAGAACTGAGAAGTACAAAATATTTAACCAAGATACAGATAGGCAGTGATGTACGTAATTGTAACTGCTGGTGGGAGTTACTGACATGTTAAACATCCTATCTTAGGAGTAGGATCAGAACCTTGAACATAGAGCAGATGAGCTAGGGAAGGCTCATATATGGGTTGTTGCTGTACTTATTTTGCATGTTTGTAAATAAAATTTACTCAAACTCTCTGAATTTGCTTTTTTAAACTTAAATGTTTTTTTTTACTGTTTGGATGGCATATGTATATAGGAAAGACATACCATCTAGATCAGTGGTCTCCAAAGTGGGGTACGCGGCAAGAGGAGTGCCTCCGGCATGGTGGCAGCAGCACTCCTGGACCTTTGATTCTTCCACGGCAAGCCTGCAGCAGCTCGGTTCTCCCTGCTTTTGTCTTTGGTGGCATGCTGGTGGCAGCTTTTTTTCCCCCTTCTTTGCTTCCCCAGAGCTGGCCCTGGGGGTGTACGATTCAAAAAGATTGGAGACCCCTGTGCCCTGCTCTGTCTGGCCAGTGCCTCCTCACCTGACCCTACTGTGAGTGCAGCCTCTCCCCCTCTCTCTTCTGGTCCCACAGCAGCCCCTGGTGGATGAAAGGGGTAATTGCAACACCTCTGCAGCAGAATCTATATTCTGCAGAGGGGGAAAATATTTGCTGGGGGAAACAAATTCTGCATGTGCACAGGAGTGCAGAATACTCACAAGAGTAGCATATACACCCCCTCATTTGCATCTTGTTAAAGGCTTACCACAATGCAGTTATTCAGAGTGGATGGTGTAGCTATTTGTAACACGCTACTTTCACTCCTTTCTTACATGTCTGAAATATCATTATCTGTCAGGAACCAACTCTGCTCCCACTTCTTGGGCAAATCAAAGTACATTTGCCAAGGTTATAATTCACTGGAACTTACATCATTCTCTTGCTGATATAAGGAAGATAATTCAAATCCTCTTTCAAAATATTGTAACATAGCAATTCTGTTTTTAGTGCTTTTCATTTGTTAGCATTGCAAAGAGTGCTCTTTGGGTAATCATTTAGAATAAGACTTTTAACCCCCATTTTCATTTCCTTTAGGTTAGATGTAATGTCTCACACCTTGACAAAAAGCCTGCAGCTCCCATTTCTGAGAATGAGGGTGGGTCACTTAATTAAAATGCACTGCTTATTATTTTTTTCACATCACATATCTTTCCCCCACTACTTTTAAAACTTGTTTATAAGACTCAAACTTTTACAGTCCATAGTGGCTATAATACATACATTGAAACATCAAAATGATTTGTCCTTGGATTAATTCAAAATTACTCATTTTTCATGGTTAGATTTCAACCTGGGAGGATATGTTAAGGGGGATCCCTGAGTAGTCTGGTCCATCTCACTATTTTCATTAATGAATGGGTTGATGGAGTAGAGAGTATGCTTATAAAATTTGTGGCTGATGCCAAACTGGGAATGGTTGCAAGCTTTGAAGGAGAGTATTAAAAATTCCAAATTACCTTGATAAATTGGAGAATAAGAAATTCAGTGAAGTTAAGTGCAAATAACTGACGAATGAAAAATCAAATGTTCAACTGCTAAATGGGGAATAACTGGCTAGTCAGAAATACTGGGTGGTTATAATGGCTCACAAGAGTATGAGTCAGCAGCGTGCACTGTGGCAAAAGTCATTCTGCAATCTGTTAACAAGAGAGTTCTCTGTAAGACCTCAGCTAATGTACCACACACAATTTTTGGCACCACAAGATGTGATCAAATTGGAGAATCCAGAGAACAACAGAAGTTCAGGTTTAGAAAACATGATTTATGAGAAAAGGTTGAAAGAACTGGGCACATTTAGTCTAAACTGAATAGAGACTGGATAACCTTTTACATATTTGAAGAGTTTTTCTTATATGTAAGATCAGTTATTCTACCACAGGTAATAGTAGTAATCAGCTTAGTTTGCAGCAAAGGAGATTTAGGTTAGATATTAAGAAAAACTTTAACTATAATAGTTAAACTCTGGCACAGGTTACCTAGGAAGGTTGTGGAATACCTATCCTCAGCGGTTTTTAAGAACAGGTTAGACAAACGTGTCAGGGATGGCCTAGGTATACTTAACCCTGCCTCAACATGGGAGGATGGACTAGATGACTATTTGAGGTCCCTTCCAGCCCTGCATTTCTATGTTTATGATTCAGAAAGTTTATCCTGCGAGTCTGTCACAAAGTACTTGGATAAGTTCTTATAATAAAAGATTTGTTTCTATTATAATTTAAAAAATTCTATCCCAAGGGTAGAAAAACCATGTTTAAGTATAATATATTTGATTGGTTCATGTTTGTTTCATAACTTTTAAAAAAAACTTTTAGCATACAAATCAATTTTTATCACTTTTCCACACACTTACAGATTTACACTTTATTTAGCATGACTCAAGTAAGTCAAAGGCTTTCAAAACAAGTTAGGGAAATGAATCAGATGATGCAGATATTTTTATAAACATTAACCAGAAGAATTTAAATATTCCAATTCTATACATTAACTAAAAAGTGGGTTTGTTACCGCATTCATCTAGGTATTTCTTCTTGGTTTTGAGTTGCCTTACTGAAGTCTGTGGTTGAATAGTCTAATTTGACTCTGTGCAAGAATGAAACAGGTAGGACAATCTCTACAAACACCTGGTATCATACACCCAGAGGAGCAGGATCCTTGTGAATGCAGCCAGGACAGCAGTGCAGAGAATCATGAACGAATAAGTCACATTCCATACAAAATACATTCTGGCAGACTTTACAAATGTAAACCTGAGTGAAAAGATTAAAAAATTAAGTTAAATTTTCAAATACAAATATTCCTGTTTATTACAGTAATGCAATAGAGTACTGTAAACAAAAAACTATGTTGCATATTTACATCAAATTAAAGTTTCCAATATGAAAAGACAGTATCTTTCAGGCTAAATATAGCCTAAATTCAATCCGAATAAACTATAAATTGTGTTTCTTATTAAACTAAGAGTTGCCCAAATTCTCACCCTTAACAAACCCATCACTAATCACTTGGGAGTACTACAGCTAACATATGTTTAAAAAAATAAGTACGGGTTACATTAAAGAGTTCTACAACTATAAGCATTGTGTCTGACAAAGCTCATTTTTCTCTAATTTTACTCTACTCGTTAGAGACTCCCACCATCCTTATGCCCAGAGGTGGGAACAGGACTCATTCTTAGCCCTGTCAACTTTTTGAGCAAGAGCAGCAGCACACCTGAGTCTCTGGACATTCCCTTACCTCAAGTGTGCTGATTTGCAGTCGAAAAAGTGAGAAGCCAGGACTGAGAATTCAATCTAGCCAACATGATGGTCTCCATACAGGTTTTTTGTCATCATGATGACCTTCACAAAGATTAAATTACATTAAGAAGCAGTGTGCAAATTACATTACATTTTAATAACTTACATGTTGATCTTTAATCTCCCCTTGGCAGCCTTGACAATAGCTATGAAACAGAAGTCAATATTTTTATTGAAAGCAGAGAAAAAAATTGTTAACACCATTTTACACAGTCATTTCTTATACAATTATTTGATATCCATTTCTGTAATTTAGAGGACAAATCACAGCCATTTAACTTAACATGCACTAGTTCTACCACTACTAAAGAAATCATTGCCAACTTATCTTATTTTCAAAACAAAAGATGAAATCTGTAAGGGCTCAAGTTGATTCTTTATAACAGGCATGATTTACATACCGTTCTCCTTTATATTCTTCCAATGTAATTTCTTGAAAGGCATCCAAAGGAAACAGGTGATGGTAAGACCGAGCCAGATGGGGTGCAGAGACTAATGTAAGACCTTGAATGTCAAAATAAAAAAAAAGACCAAAAAAAATCATCTGTCAAGATAAAGCAAAATATTTGATTTCATGAATACAGGAGAATTTCTGCCTTAGTCCACATAAAATTTAAAAATCTCTTAAGAATTAGAAGTTATACAATTCCATTCTGTTCCATCTAGGTTAGTGATTGCAGAGGTTTACAAAAGTATACTAATGACTTCTTTTGAGGGTTGGTGAATTATTATTTTAATTCTATAATAAAAATATAACTATGCCCAAGCCCTTCAATGAAGGCAAATTACACCTTTCCTCCAGCACAAGTGATATTTCCACTATACTATCTAACTATATTGGTTGCTAAAGGAATCCCTTTTTGGATATGTATGTATGCCAATCAAGTGAATATAAAAGATACTGGAATACAAAAGAAATGGAGTCTGATCAAATTCTGATTCATCCCAAATTCCCACTGTCCTCAATGAAAGTTTCAAGCACACAAGGAATTCAGCATCCAGTCTATGACACAACAGTCTGTGTTATGGTATTGCTTTCTACACACTGTAGCCCGGAGAGCCTCAAACTTATTTGATACCCAAGACTATAGAATTAAGGACAAGTTCTGCAACAGGCACAATTGAGTTTTTCTACATCCCAATAGCTTAAGGATTTGTTTTGTTGTTGCTTACCATTATATGTAAAGAATCATAGGAATATAAGGCTGGAAGGACCTTGAGAGGTCACCTAGTCCAACACCCTACATTGAAGCACGATCAAATATACCTAAAACCATACCTAACATTTATTTTGTTTAACCTGTTCTTAAAAACCTTCAACAGGGATTCTACAAACTCCCTTGGAAGCCTATTCCAGTACTGTCTAACTAGAAGGATAGTTCTTCCTAATATCTAACTTAAATCTCCCTTGCTGCAGTTTAAGTCCATTACTTCTTGTCCTATTTTCAGTGGATATGGAGAACAATTGATCATCATCCTCTTTATAACAACCCTTAACGTATCTGAAGACTATCAGGTTCCCTCCCCCCAAGTCTTCTTTTCTTAGGATTAGAAATGCCCAGTTTTTTTTAACCTTTCCTCATAGTGTTCCACGTTTTCAGTTTTTACTAATTTTCACTGATAAATTACCAGGTTTATTGAAGGTGTTCAGTTTTTACTGATTTACACTCCACTCAGTATTATCAATCCACTCAGTATTTTTTCAGGTACTTATTTTTGTTAAACACTAACGCTTTATGCGATTGTTGTGTCCTGCAGCTCTGAAACTGAAGCAGTTCCACAGTGTAAAACACAGTGCACACACGGTAGAGGTTGGAAAATTAAACATTAATATCGTGCTACGATTGGCTCACAAGGAAACACTACCTGTCCACTTCTTCGTGTTCATTTAGTGTAGCACTGAATTTAAACAATCAATCCTCCACAGATAAAGATATGTAATGGTCCCTATGTACCTGGTTATCTCCGTTACTACCAATCTCCTTATGGGTTTGGATAGACGGGTCTGGGTTCTTCAGGATCCCCACACAGCCAGTCTTACCCTTTCTGTGGCTGGTTCCAGACTACCCCCAAAATGGATTCTCCCCACTCCAAGGCTCCCAGGAATGGGCATCTCATTCCCTATTGATCAAGCTCGCTCTTCTTCCCAGGCTTTCCCTTGTCAATCATTTGACTGCCTCTTCCTCTGAGCAGACATGCCTGCAATCCTTCCCCAAACCAACAGGGGCCCCTGTTGTTCTACACAAAAAGAAAAGGAGTACTTGTGGCACCTTAGAGACTAACCAATTTATTTGAGCATAAGCTTTCATGAGCTACAGCTCACTTCATCGGATGCATACTGTGGAAAGTGTAGAAGATCTTTTATACACACAAAGCATGAAAAAATACCTCCCCCCACCCCACTCTCCTGCTGGCAATAGCTTATCTAAAGTGATCACTCTCCTTACAACGTGTATGATAATCAAGGTGGGCCATTTCCAGCACAAATCCAGGATTTAACAAGAACGGCTGGGGGGGTGGGGGGGGTAGGAAAAAACAAGGGGAAATGTTTTTTTTACCTTCAAGGTAACCTATTTCCCCTTGTTTTTTCCTACCTCCCCCCCAACGTTCTTGTTAAACCCTGGATTTGTGCTGGAAATGGCCCACCTTGATTATCACACACATTGTAAGGAGAGTGGTCACTTTAGATAAGCTATTACCAGCAGGAGAGTGGGTTTAGATAGCTTTTGCCAGCAGGAGAGTGGGGTGGGGGGAGGTGCTTTGTGTGCATAAAAGATCTTCTACACTTTCCACAGTATGCATCCGATGAAGTGAGCTGTAGCTCACGAAAGCTTATGCTCAAATAAATTGGTTAGTCTCTAAGGTGCTACAAGTACTCCTTTTCTTTTTGCGAATACAGACTAACACGGCTGTTACTCTGAAACCTGTTGTTCTACACAGTATCTCTCCTCTCTCCCACTTGGTTGCCTAGCAGACTCAAGTCTGCCCTTGGCTCTCCCTTCCCAGGGGAAGGGTATGCCTCTCCCTGAACTACCAGCACATAGAGTCCCAGAAACTTAGGTAAGCTCCTTGGGGGTTATAGATAGATAAGCTAAAAAGGTAAACATGGGATGAAAACGCAAACCTATGCGGAATACCAATAAGCAAATCAGTGCTTAGACATTTTCAAGAAAGGTAAAGATGGGATTGAGGAGGATGCATTGTGCTGCAAGTACTGCAGAATAGAGGTCAGTGCTCATGCTGACAGAATAAAGGGACATGTTGAAAGCAAGTGACACAAGAAGCTTAAAGAAGGAAAGCGAGCTTCGGGATAAACAGTCAATACCAGGAGCTTTTACCAGGGCTTTAATGAAAGAGAAGGCACAGCATGATTGTGTCAATTAATTTGTGCGTGCTCTTTCTTTTGCTGGACAACTGCTGTTAATAGCAGAGGGGCCTATTGATGACTTTGTGCAACAATACTGTCCAGCTGCAAAAACCCTTCCTAATGCAGACAACCTCACTCGTAAGCATCTGAAAGAAAACGACAATGCTTTAGCACCTACACTGATGGAACAGATTGACGGAAATGTGGAGTCTAGTCTGATTTGTGATGAGTCTCCTGACACTTTGGACCATCCAATTCTTGGCTTTTTGTTCTCATTTTTTTATTTCAAAGCAAATAAACCCACATTGTTTTGTGCTGATGTGACATTCATCCCTCTGCTGACAGCGGTTTTGTTGACACAACAATAACTGACATGTTTGATATGTACCAACTAGGGAAAACGTGGCCACAACTAATACAGATTCTGCTTCCTACATGACTACGTTTGCACAGGAGATTAAACTCAATCAGAAACCGGAGCTGCTGTGTATTACCAGTCCAGCTCATCTGAGTAATACTGTGCTGTCAGCAGCTACTGCTACAGAAGAAATGAAAGATGTGAAATTTTGTATCACTGGATTCAGGGCCATTTTCAAGCTTGCAAACAAACTGAAGGCTTTGTTTAACACAGTGCGAATTGAGTGCAGAGCCAATTGCCAATTAACTACCCCTGTGTTGTGCCACATTGGTGGATGAGCTCGTATTTCGCTGCTTGTTATGTAAATAACACATTAGCACAGTCCACGTATCTCCTAGATCATCCTGAGTTTGTTGGTTCTAAAGCAGAAACTCTGAAGAGACTGACAAATAACCAAAATAAGTGCTAGATTCTGCACACCAAGGTAATATTCATTGTTGAAAACTTAGAGTCACTGTGTGACACACAGAAAACACTCGAATTTTCTCCAACTACTGCCGTTTGCCAATAAAGATATTGACCCGATCCTGAGAACCAAAATCTCAGCTGAACTGAGCATAAAAGCTGCAGGAGAAACATATGGCAAGAAAACCATCTATTTCTGGAAATCCTTCCCACCCTGGAACACAAGAAAAATCAAACAAGCACTCAAAACCTTCAGCACAACACAGCCAGAAATAGGAGACGACTGTGGCCTATAATCTGAACCCCCAAAGTGTTTGGTGCAAAAGATTCTTTTTGGAATGTCGTCCGGTATTGCACCCCTTCCTCAAGGTGAATTTTGCAGCAGAATATGACAGTTATGCCAGAGTATTTCATCCACTGGCCACTAAAGATAAAATTTCAAATCTGAAAGGGGCATTTACTAATTCCATGAACTTGCCTAACCCTGACAATACGTAACTGGATGTTCTGGCTTTTTAGAACAACAACATCAAAATACACTTCCCAACTTCAGCAAAGTGGCACAGCAAGTTATGAGTGTATCCCCTGGATCTACTGATGCAGAGTGCATATTTTCAAAATTGGACTAATTCCATGACTGCAAGAGGCTCAACATGAGTGAAGATACTTTGAAGAAAATTATACAAGCGTACGCAAACCAGGATTTCTGGGAAAAACTACAAGCTCTGAGAGACACAAAATATACCTTTGTACATTTAAAAAAAAGTTTAAATTATACGGTAGTAAAATGTGTATATTACAAAAGTTTTTGGGTATTTCCTCCCCTCCCCCCTTTCTCCTCCTCCCGCCCATCCAATTTTTCCCCAAATTTTTTAACCTGATTTCATCCCGTTTTTAAGGTTTGGAAAATAAACGCTGAAAAATTCCCAGTTTTTTTTTTTTAAACAAATAAAAACTGAAAACACGAAATACTCATAGGTCAGGTTTTCTAACCATTTATCATTTTTGTTACTCTCCACCAGAGCCTCTGCAATTTGTTAATATCTTTCTTAAAGTGTGGCACTCAGAACCGGACTCCAGCTGAGGCCTCATCAGCACCAGACAGGACAATTACCCCCCAAGTCTTACACTTGTTCATTCACCGCAGAACTACATTAGCCCTTTTTTGCAACTGTATCATATTGTTGACTCATATTCAATTTGTGATCCACAGTAACCCCTGATCCTTTTCAGCAATATTATCACTTAGCCAGTTATTCCCCATTTTATAGTTGGGCATTTGATTTTGTATTCCTAAGTGCAGTACTTTGCACTTGTCTTTACTGAATTTCATCATGTTGATTTCAGGCCAATTTGTCAAGGTGGTTTTGAACGCTAATCCTGTCTTTCAAAGTGCAAGCAACCTCCCGTACTTAAGTGTCATCCACACATTTTATAAGCATACCCTTCACTCCATATCCAAGTCATTAATGAAAATACTGACCAGAACTGATCCCAGGACACAACCCTGGAAGACCCCACTAGATATGTCCTCCCAGCTTGACAGTAAACCATTGATAACTATTATTTGAGTATAGTCTTTCAACCAGTTATGCACCTTATAGTAATTTCATCAAGGCCACATTTCCCTAGTTTGCTTATGAGAATGTCATGTGGGACTGTGTCAAAAACCTTACTAAAAATCAAGATAAATCATGCCTACTTCTTCGCTGCCCTGCCACCCTCCCGCCCCCACTCATTAGGCCAGTACCCTTGTCAAAGAAGGAAATTACATTGGTTTGGCATGAATTGTTCTTAGCAAATCCACACTGGCTATTACTGATAAACCTATTATACTCTAGGTCTTTAAAATTGATTGTTTAAAAATTTGTTCCAATATTTTTCCAGGTATCAAAGTTAGGCTGACTGGTCTCAAGGGTGAAAGTAGCTTAAATCTCTTACTGCTACACAGGGCTGCTGGGTCCCTGAGCAAGGTGGGGGGCAGCTCTGGGCCCCTGGAAGGGACGGGGCCTCGGGCAGAAGGGGCATAGCCAGTGACACTGGAACAATTTTTAGGGTGGGGGTGCTGAGCTGCACCCCCTCACCCCTGCCCTGTCCACGCCCCTCACTGCCCCAGGCTGGGACCACAGCTAGGGGCGGCTGTGAAGGCCAGAGCCAGGACCGGAGCCCCATGGCCAGGACCCCAAGTAGCAGCAGAGCCCCCAGGGCCAGCGCCTGGAACCCTGGATGAGGGGCCGACGGCTGAGACCTGCAGTGGGGCCCCCGGCTGGGAGGCTGACGGCTGGGACCCCAACACGGGGTCACTCTGGGCACAAAGCCTGGGGGTGCTGTGGCACCTCCCACACTCCTACTTCCCACACCTATGGGCCAGACTGGGGGCCAGCCTCCTGCAGCACTGCCTGGGGCTCCAGCCACTGCTGCAGTAGTGGTGGCCAGGAGCCCTGTGTTCTTTTAAATAGCCGAGCCCCAGGGCAGCTGCCCCTTTTACCCCCCCTGACGGCAGCCCTGCCGATATGGTCCTTAAAGCACTGCCACGGCAGCACTTTAATTTCAGCTATGTACCAGCCCATACCAGCGGCCACTTTCTTACTGGTACACCGTACTGGCTTACTTTCACCTCTGACTGGTCTATAATTCCCTGGGCCCCCTTTTTAAAAAACAGGTACTATCTTCACCCTTCTCTATTCCTCCTCCATCCTCCATGAGTTCTCAAAGATAATTACTAATGGTTGCAATATTGTTTCAGGTAATTCCTTAAGGTACCCTAGGGTGCATTTCATCAGGCAATGCCAATATGAATACATATAAATATTCTTTAACCAGTTCTTTCCCTATTTTGGTCTGCAATCCTTCTTCCTTGTTGTTAATATTAATTGTGTTAAGTATCTGGTCACAACTTATCTTTTCAGTGAAGACGGAAAAAATAGGCATTAAACACCTCAACCATCTCAATGTGATCCATTATTAGCTCTCCTTCCCTGCTAAGTACAGGATTTACACTTCGTCTTTCTCTTGCTCCTAATGTCTTTATAAAACCTCTTCTTGTTGCCCTTTATTGTCCCTTGCTAGGTACAATTCATTTTGTGCCTTAGTCTTTCTGATTTTGTGCGTGTGCTATTCTTTTGTACTTTCCTTAGCAATTTGTCCATGTTACCATTTTTTGTAGGATTCCCTTTTGATTTTCAAGTGCAGCCAAAGTGGCCTCTTATTATCCTTCCTATCTTTCCATCACATCAGGATAGTTTGCTGTTATGCTTTTAATATGGTCTCGGAGAAGCTGCTAGTTCTCCTGAACTCATTTATCCCTTACATTTTCCTCCCATGGGACCTTACCTTCCAGTTCTCTGAGTTTGTCTAAGTCCTTATTCTGCTGCTCTCCTCCCTTTCCTTAGAATCATAAAATCTATTGTTTCATGATCAGTTCACCCACATTGCCATCAACCTTCAGATTTGCAATCAATTCCTCCCTGATAGTTAGAAGCAAGTCTAAAATGGTGTTCCCCTGGTTACTTCCACCATCTTCTGAAACAAAATGTTGTCCCCAATACATTACAAGAATTTTTGTGACATTTTGTGTTTTGCCATATTGCTTTTCCAAGAGATGCCTGGGTAATTAAAGTCCCCCATTCCTACCAAGTCTGATGTTTTCGTTATTTCTATAATTTGTTCTAGAAATGCTTCATTCACCTCCTTCTCCGGATTTGCTGGTCTAGTAGACCCCCTCCCATTACATCATCTCTCTGTTTTCCCTCCTCTTCTTTTCACCAAGTCTATATACTTTGTCTTGTTTTTTCATACTCACCACAGATTTTGCATTCCACAGGGAGTTCACAGTATTTGGCTCTACACTGGGGACAGAAATATCCACCCAGCGTGAGACCTGGATCACTGTTGTTTTCCAAGTGCCTGGGGGTGGGGCGGGAAGAGAAGAAATCAATATTGTTGAAATCTCTTGGACAAATGTGAAACTTTTGGACAGAATTGGAGAACACGCATAGAGTTTGTCACATAGAGTTTGGTGTGATGCAAAGTTGCAAATCAACCAGAAAATTCACTATTAAATACACATTTCCTTAAATGACATGGCCACTTAATGAAGTGTTATAAGAAAACACCAACACTTTACCAGGGTCTTTAATTAAATCCTGGGATTAACCTTCCCATTTCTTAAGTAGCAAAATATTCAGAAATTTATTAAGTGTTACCTAGTAGCTCAATTTCCACTGATAATGGAGTTTCTAACCCTGTGTCTCAATAACATCCAAGAATAGGGAAATGTCATGAGGAGTTCAATAAGCTTTTTGAAATGTGATCCAAGATCTAATGGTTTAAAGAAATCTTTTTCCAAGAGAGGAAATTTATGCTTGATTTAGCCACCTCAGAAGCCAGAACCTTGCTTTCCCTCCATAACAGAAGATTAATTTTCCCCCCACAACTGAAATTTCCTTTACCTCTAGAAAGTGACTTTATAAAAGGCATCCACTATATTATAGTCATAATTTTTCCACACACAGAGAAACTCTCATTTGGACTTAAAAACAAAAGATATGCATTTTAATTCTCTCATGGAGTATACACTGTTCTTCTTCGAGTGATTGCTCATATCGATTCCAATTAGGGTGTGCGCATGCCACGTGCACAGTCATTGGAAAGTTTTTCCCCTAGCAGCACCCGGTTTGGCTGTGGAGCCTCCTGGAGTGGCGCCTCCATGGCACTCAATATATGACCCCCCAACCCAGCACCTCCTCAGTTTCTTTTTACCGCCAGTGACAGTTGTTGGAACTGTGGTGACTTGCTTAGCAAGCTCTCCTCGTTTTCCCTAGCCTTTCTGTGTAGTGTAGTTTTAGAGTTATTTCTAGTTTAGTTTAGTTTACTGCAGTTATGATCAATAGCTGTTGGGAGTGGGGATTTCCCCTCCACCCCAACTGCATTCTCCCCTTGGGGACTCAGGGCATGCCTAAGTCCCAAGGGTTCAAACCTTGCAATAAGCCAATCCCAGCAGGCAACCCCCACGACGCTTGCTTAAAGCGTCTGGGGGAAGCGCACCAAGCGGACATGTGCAGGGTTTGTAAAGGGTTTCGCCCCAGAACAAAAAAAGGCAAGAGACTGCCGCCTAAAGCAGCTCCTTATGGAGGAGGTGCTGAGACCACACCCCACCCCAGCGGAGCAAGACCCGGCACCAACTTCATTGGTGTGGAGCGCTCCGGCAGCTGTAGCGGAAATGGCTCACTATGCCATCACCCAGCATGAGAGACGATGCAGCCTTCAGCAGGGCAGCACTCCAGTCTGTGATTCCATAACTCTGACCCCACCACCTAGGTAAGGCTTGGGAGTCACCTAATTGGAATCAATATGAGCAATCACTCAAAGAAGAAAAACAGTTACCTTCTTGTAACTGTTTTCTTCGAGAGGTGTTGTTCACATCCATTCCAAACCCGGCCACCTTCCCCTCTGTCAGATTTCAGAGTAACAGCCATGTTAGTCTGTATTCGCAAAAAGAAAAGGAGTACTTGTGGCACCTTAGAGACTAACCAATTTATTTGAGCATGAGCTTTCGTGAGCTACAGCTCACTTCATCGGATGCATACCGTGGAAACTGCAGCAGATATTATATACGCACAGAGATCATGAAACAATACCTCCTCCCACCCCACTGTCCTGCTGGTAATAGCTTATCTAAAGTGATCATCAAGTTGGGCCATTTCCAGCACAAATCCAGGTTCTCTCACCCTCCACCCCCCCACACACAAACTCACTCTCCTGCTGGTAATAGCTCATCCAAAGTGACCACTCTCCCTACAATGTGCATGATAATCAAGGTGGGCCATTTCCAACCTGGATTTGTGCTGGAAATGGCCCACCTTGATTATCATGCACATTGTAGGGAGAGTGGTCACTTTGGATGAGCTATTACCAGCAGGAGAGTGAGTTTGTGTGTGTGGTTTTTGGAGGGGGGTGAGGGGGTGAGAGAACCTGGATTTGTGCAGGAAATGGCCCACCTTGATTATCATGTACATTGTGAAGAGAGCTGTCGCTTTGGATGGGCTATTACCAGCAGGAGAGTGAGTTTGTGTGTGGGGGGGGGGGTGGAGGGTGAGAAAACCTGGATTTGTGCTGGAAATGGCCCAACTTGACGATCACTTTAGATAAGCTATTACCAGCAGGACAGTGGGGTGGGAGGAGGTATTGTTTTATGATCTCTGTGTGTATATAATATCTGCTGCAGTTTCCACGGTATGCATCCGATGAAGTGAGCTGTAGCTCACGAAAGCTCATGCTCAAATAAATTGGTTAGTCTCTAAGGTGCCACAAGTCCTCCTTTCCCTCTGTCAGAGTAACTGGCAAGAAGGAACTGAGGTCAGAAGGGTCATATATTGAGCGCCATGGAGGCGCCACTCCAGGCGCTGCTGGGGGGGGGGGGGGAACTTTCCGACAACCGTGCACGCAGTGCGCACACCCCTAATTGGAATGGATATGAGCAACACATCTCGAAGAACAACAGTTATGAGAAGGTGAGTAACCATTTTTTTCCTTCTGAAACTTAAAAAAAAATCCTCTATTGTCTTTTCTCACAAAGAAGGGCATTCTCTTGCTCATCAAGCTTTCAATTTCACTATACATTAACAATGAAATGAATGGAAGACTCAGTTCCAGGTATTCTTTCTTTATCAACACCATGTTTAAGGATGCTGATTTATATTATTTGCTATAGTATAGTAAAAAGTGTATATGTATTGCAGTGGCTCCTAAGGGCTCCAGTCAGGGATCAGGGTTCCATTGTGTTAGGCACTATACAACCAACCAAAAGATGACGCTACCTAAAGATCTTAAAATCTAAAAGTATAAGATAAGAGACAACAGCTGCATACAAACAGATGTTAGCAGTACAAGATAAAATGAGACTATTATGAACAGTTGTATGCAGTGGCCTGAAGAGGACCTCTGTATAAGCACAAAAGCTTGTCTCTCACACCAAAAGAAGTTGGTCCAATAAAAGATATTACCTCACCCACCTTGTCTCTCATGAACAATGTCATAAGCAGTGGTCACAGCACACCTGCTGCCTACCCATTTTCATGATGTTTTGTACCTTTCAGTGCAAATACAGCATTTTCTAAGTTTATCTAGATACCACAGAGTTCTAATAATGCCTAAAAGTAACCATATTTTACTTACGCCATGCTAAATGATGGTTTAGCATCCTGATCAGAGAGAGACGCAATGGTATGCTGAGGAAACCCTTAGGAGCCAAGAAAAATATTACATCACTATATGAATTGGTAACATACAACAAACAATTTCCTATTTGAGTGGAGAAGTTAAAAAGTTAGGGGTTACTGTTTAGAATATTTCATGTTATTACAGAAATCAATGCACCTTTTCCTAGATATTAAATCCATCATGATTGTTCTCTTCCTACTTCTACCTCCAAATCTTGTATTGCATCTCCTTACAAAAACAATTTTTTTCCCCCACTTAGAGTGAAACTGACAAACCCCAATTTTTTGGCAATTACACAGAAAATTAGAGGAGATAGTACAGAAGGAGAAAGAACAATGTATTAAAGGGAATTATGGTTCAAGTCAGAAATTAAGGGAAATAATTTAATGTTCAGACTTCAGAGACACGATCCCTCTGAGTGCAGTGTGATGGTTAATACAATATTTTCTGGAGGTCCTAGGTAGCTTCGAGTCCTCCTCTGGTTATTATTTTTATAGCTCATCTCAACCAAGGAAATAGTTTTTTTATTTCTGTTCCCCTGATTAGACTGAAAAAACAAAAACTTAAATCATTTAATTATAAGGATTACACACAAGTGTCTACTTTTTATATATTTATTCACTTTGAGAAATGAAAGGAAAGTTGTTTTAAAATGGGGAACAAGCCTGCACAGTGGCACAGCAGCAGAACATTGTGCTGCTACTTTGGTTTAACTTCAGGCTCACACTCTTTCTTTTTCCATCAGGAGGAAGCCAAGGAGCTGATTCCAGTTGTTAGAAAGGAACATGCTGACAAGATTTCTGTTAATATATGCCCAATTTGTTAATCACATAGCAATACTGGCATGCATTTAAAAGGCTCATGGGTTTTGGCCAAGGTACAGAAGGCAGTCATCATGATAAGATGGCAAACAGAAATACATATGGAGAGGCACACTTTTCAGGTTTATCTTCTTAATATTTTACATATCACATTTTTCCACTACCGCACAAAGAAATATTGTGTAAAATTTGCTACTACCCACTTAAAATGGAGTTTTGTCTCTTTTTTGTTTTAATTTTCCATTTTTAATTTAAATAGCTAAATGGTTTGTAGGTATATTGTTAAATATATTAGAATTCAGTTTGCTAAAACTGAAAACTTAAAATGAAAACAATTATGTATCGATATGTTTTTCAGATTCCAAACAGCTTGTTTGTTCATATTATTTTAATACAGAAGACACAAAAGAGGATGTTACACCAAAGATTCTTAAATCTTGCACTTAAAATTTAATAAAATACAATCCTACCCATTCGAATAAGGGAGCATTCAGAACTTGAACTGGCAGGTGGAGGGCTAATATGATGCATCAGCAGCTCCTTATAGTGGCTTTCATCTAAAATTACATGGTATGTTCCTATCATGGAGGAAGAAAATAAATGAGTTGGCGGAGAGTCATGTATTAAGAATACGAAAACACCACAATCATAATACCTGTTCAAATAACGTATGGATAGTTTTACTGAGATCAGAACCATGAACAAGAAAAAAACCTGGAATATCAAGTTTAGGGAAAACTTGAAAACAGTTTAAGTAAAAATGTATAGTGTTAATAGTGCAAAATATATGGGATGTTACCTATAGTTACTACATATTTTTTTTAAATATACAAGTATGACTGTGTACCTCTAAAATGTTAGATAGAGAGAGCCTACCTTTCCCTCTCCACACTAACTTACACAATGCAATTTTTTTCCCACTAACCATTGTGGTCACTAATGGTAATACATGTTTATTAACTTTAATATGATACAGTTTACCTACAGACTTTTTCAGGTATCTTTATTTCTTTAATCATCTCTCTTCCAAATCAGTAGCTACAGTTACGTATCAAATCTACTGAATTTGTATGACTTCTTTAAACGGAGGGAGCAATTATGAAATATTCTCCTAACACAACAGTATGGTCAAAAAAATACATCCTCTTTAAACATCAAAATTTATTTTTAAAAAATTGTCAAAACAGTTACTTTACTTTCAGACTTAAATGACTATTACTGACGTATATTCAGAATCAGTCTATATACTTACCACCCGTTTCTCGGGCAAGTACAGTACAAACTCGAACTTCAGCAGATAGGCCGATGACAGATACTCTGATCTTAACTGCCTTTAAGCACTTCACATACAAAAACAAAAAACACCCAAATGCATCAGCAGAACTGAAAACTGTAAAAAGTGCATACATTTTCAATTAAAAAGTAATGACAAAAAATGATGCTTCAACAACATTTTTTTTTTAAGTGATACTAATTCTTCACTTCTATACCTTAATTAGATCATAGATATTAGATGGATCACAGGTTGTCAGGCTACTGAAGATAATCAAAACCTCCCTGCTTGTATGTCCTGGCATGTGCCTATAGAAGGTAAAAAGAGGTATATTTAAATTAGCTATAAACTAAGAATATAACAATTACATACACGTACGTTGAAGTTTGATGCTGTGTGTCCCCAAGAGTAACATTTCCTAGTACTCAGTTGTACAAAATTCAGAAAAACACATGGCTAATGCCCACAAACACCAAAGGATAACGTAAATCCCTCACAGAATTGCTCCCACAATAAAGTCATACTTTTCCAAAATCTAACCTACTGAAATGTCCCTTTCAGTTGATGGCTTGTTATAGTTCTTGAAGTTATCCCACCACAGTCCTCCAGGGATAAATTAGATTCAGTCTGAAACCACCACAACAAATCTCCGAGCACTTTTTTTAAACTTTATTCTGTGGTCAATTCAGAGATGCAAATTTATGACATCTTTCACAGAGAGCAGGGTTCTCAAAGTTTATTGTGTCTTTCTATTTCTCTCTCACTTGCACATATCAGAATACAGCAAATGCTTTAAGATAATCTATTTTATTTCATTTTCAATTCCCTATAGGAAAAAGAAATCACCATCAACTCAGACAACAAGCTTCTTGTCTTTCCTTTTCAGGCTCTTAATTTAGAACCACATTAACTAGCTGTCCTAGTAACCTACTGCAATATCCACCACCACCTTTACTCTGTCATTGTTCCTGGCCTTTCTTGCTCACCAGTCAGACTCTCCCTCAAACATCCATTCTTTCTCTCATGCCACTTATTTACCATGCGAGCTCCCTCCCAGCAAAAATCTAAAAAGCTGCTCACTTTTCATGTGATACATACAAAACTCAGCCAGATGACCTTGGCGCAAGTGGTAAGCCATGACTGTTCCTCTTCCCCCTCCTTCCTTTTCTCATACCTTTAACTAGCCCCACTCCTGCCATTCCCCCAGACCCTACCTCTACAGCCAAATTAAAAAGAAATAGTTAAAAATAAAAATAGAAAACTAACAAAATTGATGGTATTTCATCATCCTGTTCATTTACCTGTCTGCTATATCCCCATTTCCAAACTTTCATCTGTTATTAGATTTTAATCTTTCTAGGACAGGGACTATGTTGTCTTCAGCTGTGTTTGTACAATACCCAGCACAAAGGGGCTTGGATCCTGAGTGGGGCCTTTACACACTATCATAATTAAAAAAATAATTCAACAATTGCTCCTTTTGCTACAGTAACCCAGGTTCCATTTGTCCTAGCCTCATAGTCAATTTCATTAAAACCTTTCCTACAGACTATTACTTACACCACTTTTCCATTTGACTTTACAGCTTTGGAGTGCACCATGGAAAGTCTGTTCATATCTGAAGAGCTGAACCACTTACTATGCAGAAAAATATTAATATGTACTTTGCTTTAATGAACATGCAGTTAAAAGTTCAAAATCTGCACTTTTCAGCTCTTTACATGTAACAGCTGTGGTCTTGCCTACCTCTTCAAAGAAGAGAATGAAATCATATACACAGATACTCAAAGTGTTAATTTTGGCAGTAATTGTTTCTCCAAGGTGTTGAAACTGAAGAGTGAACCAAAAGACAAGGCGACATTTGATATTTATGTTATAGATATCTAACAGTTATGTTTTGTTTATATGTTTTGATAAATACTTTGTGCTCTTATAGAGACAGAAAACCAAAGTTTCCCACTTCTTACTAATATTAAATAATGCTTCCAATTTTTCCTAACAATTACATACTCCCATCTGAACAGCAGCATAAACAGGTTTTTGTCTGGGAATATTAAATGCTTTTTTTTATTTTTAAATGACAATTACGTTGATTGTGCGTGTACAAAGCAGAAGTTAGTTATTTGTATTGCAATAACACCTTAAAGTATCTCAGAAGGATCAGTGCAGCACTATGCAAGGCATTACTCCCAATCAGCGTTTTATCAGTTTCTGTTGTTCCAAAAAGAATAAAACCTATAATAACCTGCATATACTAACTTTAAAGTCTGCATGGCCAAATTTAAAGAGTTATACAGAGATGGTTCTCCATGGCAGGTCAGATCTACAGCTTTCTTCAGAGCAGTTGTATGCTTTCTTGGGTTTCCTATAAGTAAAAACAAAAAACAAAACTCACCTGAAATGGTAAGATAACAGAAGAATGTACAACTAAGTTTTTTTTAAATTTATACTGATACAGTATGATATACATAAACCGAAAATATCCTTGTGTGAACTGTATCACAAATTGTTTTAGTAACAATAATATTTAGTACTTACATTGTCCTTTACATCCTCAAAGCACTGTACAAACATTAAATCACCCTCAAAGCACCTAAACAAGGTAGTAGATTGGCTAAGTAGACAAAGAGAAGTTAAATGACTTGCCTGAAGCCACACAGTTAGTGGTAGAACTTAAATCAAAAATCAAGTGTTCCTGTTTCTCAGCCTCACCTCTAATCCACTAGATCATAAGGCCTCCATTAACTACAATTGCAAAGTTAAAACAGATAACAAGGAGAGAAAGAAAATAACCAGTATCGGAAAAAAGGTATGTTTTTCATAGGATATTTGAAATATTGATGAGGGAGAAATACAGGAAGGCTGTTCCAAACAGGAAGTGCTCCGAGAAGACGGCTCTCGCACCAAGTCATGAAAATGTATATAAAAGAGGAAGTTGGTGAGAGGAAAAAAAGAGCAGAAAGGGAGGCAATAGAGAAATTCATGTGTTGGCAGTCAATACAAATTACATGCACAAAGTTATCAAGAGAAAAATCAATACTGAAATTTGATTGCTGCTCTTAAACATACATATATTTATATTTCTAAGCATAAGTAGACTCCCTGACCAATCAAGAAACTTATCTCAAAACAGACTACTATCCTGCAATTAGATCCACTAACATGGACCCCTACATCGTTCTGGTACTCTACTAACTTTATTAGGGTCTGCCTGTATGGAATAAGTTGCAAGATCAGAGCTGTAGAGTGCAACAGTTATGATGACAATGATTCTCTAATACAAAAGGATACTTCTTTCCTACCTGAAAGTTCTGTCAGCTTTTCAGCTCTTTTACTCTTAGTTACAATTATACCAATCTGCAAGAAATAGTTCTATTAGTGAGTTACAAACAATTTGATCTACATTCTTCGTATACCCGGTGTATTGTTAGATAGATCTTTTTGGATCAGTGCTTACAATACCCACATCTTTCTCTGCAGGCTTTCTTTCCAAGCACAGTAATTTGAAACCAGCTCTCACCTTGAGATACAGGAAATTACTAGCACAACTCCCTTTGTATTAAGATGAAAATATATTCTTAATTCTTCACCCTATTGGTACCTCAAGCCCTTAAAGACTAAAATGTCTCTTTACATCTTCTTCCTGTCTTTAAGAATGCAATTCCAAATCCTAATTGTGTTAGCATTTGTACTTCAGAAAAACTGTAAATCAGTATCCAATTGATTTCTCATTCTCACCATTTAATAGGAAAAAAAATTTACACAAGATCAGGAGACAAAGAGGAAAAGACTACTACTAATTTAAAATAATCTGTTGGAAAATTATTAAAATTAAATGAAAACTTCAAAATAGTTCTTCCAACTTTGTTTTCAGACAACTTCTTAATCAGTAACAATGAATCTCGTTTCCAACACAGGTGTACATACCTACCTGACTAATAGGATTTTGGTCAAAGTATTCTTCAACAAAATATTCCAATAACTATAAGAAAAAGTTCTGAGTATTAGATAATTCAATACATCAGTCATTTCATATCTGTTAAAATGATAGTACAGTACTAATAAAACCATTTAGAACTTTTAAACACCCTAATCCTCCACCTCTACACTCCTTGGGTGCATAGTACCCTTCAGAAACTTTAGAAAAAAATCTCAGTTTACATTAAGTACATGGTAACTATACTAGTGTTATTTCTGCAGCAAATTTAAAATAGATTTAACAGTATTAGTTAGAATTAAGACAACAGCTGAAATTTTAATCTGTAATACAGATCAGTGGTAATGATTATTGAGTTATTTTCTGTGACCAATAATCTAGTTAGCAAAAATTAAGGTCCCAATGCTGCAAACGGTTGTACAAACTTTAAGCATGTGTGTATACCAATTAAGTCACTGGCATTATTCACATCCGTAAAGTTAAACACATGTAACTGTTTGCAGGAATAGATCCGGGACTAAGTCATATTCAGCCAAACTTATTCCACCTTCCATATGACTCAAATTCACAAACCAAAACTAAGCAGTATTTTGGTTAACACATGGAAGATTAGCGTTATTTTGAACAGAGGGTCTTCCCCATTCACACAAAAGAAATACTGATAATTACTTAATTTTTTTAAAAAAAGCTCTGAAGTTTAAACAAAGTGTGTTCCCCTAATTCACACCAAGGACTCTACATTATCGATACTTCTGAACACATGGAAGATATTACAGCAGTGGTGGGCAACCTGCAGCCCACATGCGGCCCATCAGGGTAATCTGATTGCATGCCACAGGACATTTAGCTGACGTTGACTGTTTGCAGGCACGGCCCCCCACAGCTGCCAGTGGCTGCGGTTCGCTGTTCCCAGACAATGGGAGCTGCAGGAAGCAGCGGGCTGCAGGGACATGCTGGCTGCCGCTTCCCGCAGCTCCCATTGGCCAGGAACAGAGAACTGCGGCCACTGGGAGCTGGGGGGGGCTGTGCCTGCGGACAGTCAACATCAGCAAAATGTCCTGTGGCCCGCAATCAGATTACCCTGATGGGCTGCAGGGGGTCCACCACTGTATTACAGGGAAAAGAGGAAAACAGAGTATTTGATTCAGCTAAATACGAAAGTTTTGCCTATGTTAGCTAAAATTGTTGCCATAAATACGGCACATAATAAAATGATTTGTATAGGAAATCAGAATGATACACATTTTAAAACATAATTTTAATGCTTAGTTATTATCAGGGCAACATTTTATCTCCATCAAGTTCAGTCCACTGTAGTCAGTCATACCTATCTAAATTGGAATAAGTCACTATCACAGACTCAATCAGGACCTGAAGCATATTTTCAGTACAAAGTATTAAAATTTATTTTTAAGAAGTGTAAAGTGTATTTGTTCTCTTTCCACTTCATGCTATGGGTGATACCCCCCGTCTGCTAATTCCCACATTCTTTGTATGGCACTTTCTGTTGTTTAAACGTCTCCAAAGCCCTCCTAACGTTATTATTATTACTCTTACTTCTGTTGTGTCTAATGATGCCAAACAGTCCCATTGTACTAGTTACTGTACAAAACACACACAAAGACAGCCTTTACCTCACAGAGTTTGCAACAGTGTTTCCCAAATCAGTGGTCCCTACCCACCAGTGGATTACAGGAATATTCTAGACGGATCACCACAACCAGGGCCAGACTAACCCATCACTGCACAGCCTAGCCAAGCATACACTTCTCCCAGCCTGGTGAAAGTTGGGGGTTGGAGAGCAAGCTCACCCCATACTCATTCCACAGTGGCAGCTCCTCTCCCGTGGGGCTGAGCCCAGCTCCCTATTCCAGGTGTTGCTACCTGGTATATGGTATTGCAGTGCCACCCACTCAAATTTGGTCACCATGGAGGGGAAGCAAGGCCAAATTTGAGAGAGAGGTGCTGCGCTCCTGTGCACCAGGTCACAACATCTGGAGGGGGACACACCCTGGATAGGAGCTGCCACTGCAGGATCAGTAAAGGGTATATTCACTCTCCAAACATGCCCTTCCTCTCCTAGTCCTCGCAATGGGCCGGGATTAGGGTTGCAGTGCCAGAACAGAGGGTGCAAATATGTAATGGTGGGTTGCAACAACAACCAACCAACCAAATATTGTTGGTGAGTCGCCTTACTACAAAGTTGGGGAATCACTGATCTACAGTTTGCAAAATATGTAAGACAAACAACAGACAAAGAGGAAAGAGGCAGATGGGAGCATTAACATAAGTATTAGTCAAAGGTAGTTGCAATCCTGTTCGAGCCCAGATGGATGTGATCTGCAGACATCACAACAAAGGTAGGTTAACATACTTTTGATAAAATAAATACCTTTAAGGTACAAGTAAGCCTGTTAGGTTTTAAATCTTGGTCCTCCATAGTCCTTGATCCATCTACCACCACATAAAGGTGACGCATCTGAATCATAATCATAAAGGATATTAATTCCACAAATTCTTGGTTTGAAACTAAGATAAACTTTTAAAACTCACGTGAAACAAATTTATAAGACAGTAATTTAAAATTACTGTTTATTTCAAGTACATTACATAGAAAATATGTACAGCCTTCTCTGTCACATTGGCAATATTTAGAGTATGGAACAGCATAATGGCCTTTAAGGATTCTTTAATTGCTGCTGATTAAAGAGGTTAAGTTCCTCTCCATCCTCCTTTTACAATGTGAGCAGAGATCTTCTCCTGATAAATTATCACTGTTCTCATCCTCTCTCAAAAGGATTATGGAATAATAATATTTTGTATTTATATCGTCACTTCAACTGAGGAAGTCAGTGTTTTACAAATCAATCAGTTCTCACAACTGTTTTGAATTAAGCTAGTACCATTATGCCCATTTTACACATTGGGAAACAGACTCCAAGAGGCTGTGTGATTCAACTGTATCACAAAGCAGGGGAAATAGAACCCATGTCTCTTGAATATCAGACACTTTCAACATTTAGCATACTACACACCAATTCACGAAAGTAAAAAAAAAAATTGTCTGTTGGGACAGAAAGAAACCTCAAACTCATGCACATCAAGTCAGTAAAAACATTTCTTAGATTTGAAGCCACTATGTTTTCTGAAGAGGGAAAACCACTTCAGTACAAATAATCTCAGACACAACAAAACTAGATATAAGAGTCAAGGGGATTATATAAACATACCATTCCAAGTCTAACTTGCCCATGGTGTTCAAAGATTCTGGTAAAAATACAGAAGAATTTGAGCTAAGACTATAACATGGGATTCTAAAACAGCATCAATAACTAAGGCCAATCCTACAGTTACATTACATGCTAAATTACCCTTAACATCAATGCATTTAAAAAGGATGAAAGATTAGGTTCTAAATAGCCATACAACTAGGGCTATGAAAAACTGTGGAGGGCAGACGCTCAGTAAAAAAACAGTGCAGTGAGTCTTATCAAATTTTAATGGAGTTATTTGTTTTGAACTTCTTTGTCACTCTGAACTATTTACAAAAACATAATATATTTGAAAGTTTGGGGTTTTATGCCTTAACATCAATCTGTGAATTAAAACTAGCCTTTGCCTAGAATGTTTTTAGACACAGAATTTTAAACAACATCAATTTATAATTTGGTGCAAGTCACACAGCACTAGGTAAATATCCAGCCAGTCCAATAATGAACAGATTAAAATAATCTGTATATCAATATTTTGTTAGAGGACATACAAAGATGGATTCTGCTATTTACATTCAGTAGTCTAGTTGCAGCACACTGCACTCCACATATATAAGTTTAGGACCTAACTTCTTTGGGAGCAGAGATATGAACCACCGAGTATCAATGCCCTTAAATAGGCTGTAGAGCAGACGTGGGCAAACTACGGCCCGGCCCCCGGGACCATCCTGCCTGGCCCCTGAGCTCCCAGCCAGGGAGGCTCGCCCCTGGCTCCTCCCCTGCTGTCCCTCCTCTCTTGCAGCCTCAGCGCGCTGCGACACCAGCGCTCTGGCCCGCTGCTCCTGCCAGGCAGGACAGCAGCGTGGCTGCAAGCTCCTGCCGCTCTGAGCGGCGTGGTAAGGGGGCAGGGAGGGGTTGGATTAGGGGCAGGGAGTCCCGGGGGGCAGTCAGGGGACAGGGGGCAGTTGGATGGGGTGGAGGAGCAGTCAGGGGTCGGTTAGGGGCAGGGGTGTGGATAAGGGGTGACGTCCCAGGCGGGGGTGGTCAGGGGACAAGGAACAGGGACAGGCTGGATGGGTCGGGGGTTTTGAGGGGGGCAATTAGGGGGCGGAAAGTGGGATGGGGCAGATAGGGGGCAGGGTCCAGGCTGTTTGGGGGCAGGGTCCAGGCTGTTTGGGGAGGCACGGCCTTCCCTACCCAGCCCCCCATAAAAGTTTTGCAACCCTGATGTGGCCCTCAGGCCAAAAAGTTTGTCCACCCCTGCTGCAGAGAAATCTCAAGTTACTCTTTCTGGCACAATTAAGTATAGATGGAATTACGGAACGGGAGGCTGAATCTAAGACATAGAATGAGGAAAAAAGGGGGAAAAGGAGAAAGTATGTTTACTTATAAATATTGCAGTATGTTTAATCTACCTGATGGGGACAATTTTTTCTCAGTGTAATGCCTCTGACTTCAACATAGTTACATCAGAGATGAGCTTTTCCTAATGTGTTCCCTGTACTTCAGAACTGACTACTTACCTTTTTCTCTTTGCCTTAAAAAGAATGTCCTCTATAGTTGCTTTCAGTGACCCAGATTCGTCTTCTTTGAGAACCTCCCTACAATGAACAATTTATTACATACAAATTAGATTAAATTTTCTCTCTTAAAATAAAATAATTAATAAAACAAAGCTTACCATGTTCTTTCATAACCCCCTTCCCAGCGTTTAGTTCTTTCAGGCTCGTCATCCATGTCTGTCTGTCTGTCCAAATCTGCTTGCTTACGATACTGTTAAGGATAAATGATTACATCCTTGTAAGCAAAGGCATTTTGATAAATTCTGTCTGATTACGTGCGATAGCACATCGGGAACTAATGCAACGTACCAGTCTCTGGGCTGACAATAAAAATGTGACTTAAGATGCTGAATTACTTTTGTCAAAACTAGGTCCCCCCAATAATACTAACAGGCAGGTAGACCTTTGCCCTGCGCATGGGCGCGCTCCTGAGCGGGGGGGGGGGGGGGGGCGACTGTAAACGGGCAAAATGACGCCGCGCCGGGGAACGCGTTCCGCGCGTTTATTGTGACCGGTTCGTTTTTAAGCCAATGACGCTCATTCCCACGCCCCACAGAGGGGAGGGGAGGGCAGGGCTGTTTTTTAAAGCAAATTAACTTTCCTAGAGAGCTAAAGGGAGTCCCGAGAACTTGAGGCGGGGCCAGTCGGCGAGGAGCCATTACCCGGGGCCCCCGGGAGAGGCAGGGCTGAGGCTGCTGGCCCGGGGGCCTGTGCGCGGCTCTACTTTCCCCTCCACCCCGACCTGCTCCTGCCGCCCGTGCGCCCCGCTCTCCCAGGCCGGCCGGGGGCGGAGGGGTGTCGGGGGGACGCGCGGATCCCAGCGCACGGCGCTGACCTGCCGGGACCGGGCTCGAGCTCCCCGCGGCGAACTCCCGGAACCCCCAACCTCAGCCGCTCGGCGCTGTTGCAACTCGTCCGACCGGCGCGCCGGGCCGCAGCAGGAACGTTCCGGCTTCAGGAAGGGCCGGCCTGGAACGGGGCGGGGAGTGGTGCCCGGCCCCCGGGGGGAGCTACACGGGGGTAAGACGTGCCGTCGTCCCCCACCCCCGGCAGGCACGCGGCGCTGTGGACCAACGCTTCTTCCTCGCGCCTGGCCCCGCGCGCTCCTGTGCGAGGCTGCCGTGGCTCGGGGCCCGAGTTACCCGGGACCCCAGCACGCTCCTGGCTGCGCTGCGGCCCATGGAGCGTCCGCCCTCGTACCTCCGCGGGCCCGGCTCGGGAGGAGGCGGCTCTGAACCTGGCCCCAGACCCCACGGGGCTGGACGCTTGCCACTGGCTCTGGCAGGGGTATTGTGCTAGGCGCTGCAGCCTCCACTGCGCGGCCGCCGTCAGTCAGAGACGGGACTCGGGATGAAATGGCCCTTAAGGCGCGTCCAGCCTCGCACTTCCTTGGTTCCTGCGAGGGGAAACTCTCCCCAGCCAGAGCTGGCCGCTCTTGTGGCCTCTGAACCTTTGCTCTTTCACCCATTAAATTCAAAATCTGTCTGTGAAGAGACGAGGAGTTAAGTGGTTATCCCCGACCCCGGAAATAACTCAGCACCTGGTTGGTAAACTGGGTGAAATTAAACCCAGACAAGTCAGAGCTGCTGTGAAGAAGAGGGAATCGTTTCAAATTATTTGTCACCACCACCATGGCAGACTTGATGAGTACAAAACACAATATAGCTAGGAATTAAGAGACAGTGAAAAAGCCTCTGGGACATGTGAAACTCTCTTATTAGGCACCATACATATAAGCACATCACCTTGGTGCTTTGGTAACTACATTAGCTTCCAGGGAAATACCAGATTAAATTTAATGTCCTGGTCTTCACCGTCAAAGCTGTCAAAAGGATTGGACAAGTGGTCTTCAATATTGCCATTAAGCTGTGCTCTGCAAGAACAAAAGTGAGACTAGTGGGAGCTGATAGACCACCTGATAGTTAGCCATGAAACTTCCTTAGAAGATAAGATTGGGACAAACTTTGCCACTGTCAGAATAAAATACAAGACATCTCTCTGCCATAACTTACAACATTAAAAATATTTAATAAAAAAATCCATGTGCTGGGCAAGGAGGTATTTATATCTTGAATATTCTCTTGATTTATAGTTTGTAAAGCACTCCAATATTGACTGTGGTGGTTAGCACAGCATCTATACCTAAGACAGACTGATCTAGTTCAGATCCAGAAGTAGGCTTACCCTAGGTCAAATCATGAATCACACAACTGTTAGTCCCCTACTCTAGTTACTTGACAAAGATCCCAGTCCTCCAAAGACTGTTTACATACTGTGAATACCCCCAAAGTCAGTGGGATTACTCACAGGGTGTAGAGTTCTGGGGGTTCATAAATCTGTAGGATTGGGGCAAAATTCCCTTCCACGTAGATATAAATTAATCTTGTTTCCCATATAATAATACTGTTTCTCTTGGTCATTTGCTGTTATTCACATAGTGCCAGACTGTGGAGGTATCATGCCATGTTCATAAATAAATTTGTTTCATGGGGAATCTGTTGTCAAGGAAGTATGATTTTGCACCAGATTAAAGCACTACATTCTAAAAACACCTGTGTAAATCATCTTTATTTTAGCTATTAACTGAAGTATCTGAGAAGTAGGATTTATACATTAAAATGCAGTATTATGTGTAAGTTATTGTACATCTATTTTTTCTATTTGTTGAATGTTCCCTAATAATACTATTGTAGTCTACACCAATGGCCCCAAATGTGGGAGTAACACTCTTGTAAGACACAGAGTCTGGAATTGTTTTACTTCTACACAGTAGTGTAATATATTTTATATGGCTCTATGACTAATCAACTAATAGAAAAAATTTGAACAAATAAAAAGTTAATAGTTTTTACAAATCAAATAGAATCTCAAACTTTGACCTCAGAATGCTTTCCCTGGGGCTAGGAACCTGTTTCCTTGGGATATTTTACTTTGTTTAGGATTTTTTCTAACAAAACATCAGTACAAACCTATGGACAGTTACTTGACTCATACATTAAATCTCTGAATATTTATTACATGGAACAACATCTATGATTATCATGAGGCGGGGTGGTAATTGCTATGGGGAAGAGAAACAGCATTTTTTCTAAGTATCTAGTAGTTTCTATTTTTTAAGTGTCTATGCAATGAGTTTGCATGAAACTATTCTACTCTATATGGGAACCCTTAAAAAAATTATTTAAAGATTCAAACTTCTGAAAAGTGTTGTCAGTAGCTACCGGTGTGGTGCTCTGCTCTTGTTCGATGATAACAGTTGGCTGCGTGCGTGTTCCCTCTGTGTGCTACCCCAGCTTTGCGCAGATAGCTAACACAGCAGACCCCAAGAGAACCCCCAATGACCACAAACTCTAGTAAGGTATGAAGGCATGTCAGCCAGGTTTATTGTCGAAGAGAAACACAATCTCTAGCTCCCCAATTCATATAACTTATATACGGTTTGTTGCTAGTCCCTATGTGCTCCCTGACAATGGACTCAGCTCAGTCAGTGTCGGGACTTTCCACTGCCCCCTAGGCTGGACAAATACAGTGCCCCAGGGATGTATTCTTGTACACAGGTACAAACAAGTTACATAACACTCCTGATGTATTGAGGTGCAATCCCTTTACGTAATAATGCACCACCCTTCTACACAGTAAGGTGCCACCTCTCACCTTGTACATGTTGGTTCGAACAAAACAACTCTATCCATCATACTAGCCTTTTGCCCCTGTCCTTGTTATCTGTGTGGACAGTATAAGAATGTTCTTGTACCATTTATGTATGACTCTGGTATCTAATACACTTTAGATACATGTTTATGCAAGAGCATATCTTTATACAACATCAGCCCTTTCCTTGCCAGCTTCTGTGAGCAGGGCCTGCCTCTAGCTCACAGCTTAACTTTGTTTATGTTAGCAAAGTCTTGACCATTGCTTTAGCTCAGGCCTTAGGTCTCATACCGGGCCTCTGATACCAAGGGTTTATGTTTCAGGGCCTCATCTTACTACATTCCCCCACTTTTTGTCTTTTTACAGGGAGAATGTTTACCGTTTGTCCTGGAAAAGCATAATGCATGGACGAAAGATAACCCCAGTGGGCCAAACACCGTGATGTGGTTACCTTATTTTACCATCCATACACTCATGCCCCATCTGTCTTTAAGTCTGCACATTCCCTCATATGACTGATAGATTTTATTATCCAATTATTTTTAGTCCCTTAGGGTGGGCTTGGGAATGTTAAGCCTGGGAACTTGCCTGAGAAATGTCATTTTATAATTGAGTCTTAGAGGCACTCCCAAATAATATATATATTTGTAGTGTATACAGGCATATTGATATAATCTTTATGTGTACATATGTCAGCACTTTATATACAAGCATAGCAATTCTTTTTCAATGTGACAGTGTAGCTTGGCCCTTGTGGTACTGCAGATAGCAACTCACTTTTATTAGGGCAATTAAAGTTACCATCTGTATCATTATTAGCAGCAGGCTCAGGGTTTTGAAATACTAGGATAGGGATTGTGACGATGTGTCCCATAGTGTTATGTATGTGAGAAGTAAAACAGAAATTTGGAGTAGTGACACTACCCCTGAGGCCTTTATTTATAAATATATTGTAATTAATTACTACACAGTACTGTCCCTCCATGTTATAGACTATCCTTAATGCTGGTTGTCACGCTCTGGTAAGCTTCACTGGGCAGAAAACTGAACGGGCTAGCTTCTCTATTCCATTGATTGAACTTCTCTGTGATACACCAGTAGTTGAGGGAGATTCAGTTGTTTTTCCATGAATGCTGTCTTCCAGATAACCTACTGAATGGAAAGTAACCAAGTTATTAAATATTGCTGTGTCAGGATTTAGTATTGGTATCCAGACACCGAATAAGATTGTTCTGAATAACATGTGGATTAGGATGCAGTGTCAGTAACCCAAATTATGACTGGTACTAACAGGGAATTTGTTTATCCAATTTGCAGTTACTGTGTAACTTAAGTTTATAGCAATTTGTTTTTTCCTTGCCTTTATGTTGTTTGCTGCCATTCGTTTTTTGATTGTTACCCGTGTGTTGGTTAAACAGTTTAGCAAGGTTACGCACGTTGTAAATGTTGTACAGCAATAATACAACAGTACAGCGATAATACAATTGTTTTTCCACAGCAACCAAGTTGAAATTAAATGACAGTTTATCCTGGTTCAGCTAGTGGTTTTCAGCTGGCTGTTTGTTTAATTGTTCATATATGGTAGATAGGTGTATTTGATGGGTCTCTCTCCTATATGAAGCACTTCATTTTTCTTTTCTTGATCCTTGGGGGTTTTGTCACTGTATACCGATATTTTCTGGTGTCTTCAGGGTGTGATACTTTCTGGAGTCTTTGGTTTGTGGGAAGCAACTTAAACAACTTTTGTTAGTTAACATAGTAACTTTGTTTGTTTTTCCTTTTTTGTTTTCAGTAAACCAAAAACTTAATACAAAGTTTAACTTAGTTTGTTGACAATGTAATAGGGACCACGTCTTTTATAATGCAAGCTATACTTTTTCCAATTGTTGTATAGATATTCATTTTCATTTGAACTGGATTACTAATATTTTATTCTAAATGTAATGCTTAACTACAAAGTTACATATGATTTAAAAAAAAAAACATTCCATGTTAGCAAAAGAGTTAACATCATTTTTACCAAGCTTTCAGAGTTAATTTGCTTGAGATACCAATTTCATTCTTGTTAACTGTTTAGAAGCACAAGCTTTAATAACCACTGCTTCCTGTTAACATAATGTAACATAACACCAAAGGAAAAGCATATCTAATTAAACCAACTCTAAAATTAAACCCAAAATACATTTTAAATACAGGTTCATGCAAATACTTTAAGGGTATTAAGCTTTTATGGTGCTTTTTTTGGTGTTTGGGAGCCAAAGGTGGAAACCTGTTGAAAACGTGGAAACCTGTTGAAATTGTTTGGTTAGTTTTATACATAAACTGTTGTTTTTAAAACATTTTTGCTATAACTATATTTAAAAATCCTAACAAGTTTATAAAAAGCCCAAACAAGAAATTGACATTTTGTTAATATTATCTTTACCTTAATGTTGAGATTTCCCCTTACCTTTTTTCTTTGAACAACAAAAACTGATAAAAGAATTCTTGTTTGCAATTGCATCATTTGTTGAGGCAGAAATAGATGTACAGATATTTGTAACTGAAACCTTTTTGAACTTTGCAAAAAAAAATTGATGATCATAATACTATGATTATACCCCAACCATGATCTTAAAATAG